TTTTGTAGATTTCGCTTTATTCGTCTTACACGCGCTCCTCATTTACTTCATTTACACTTAATTCACATATAACACGAGCTTCCTGCCTCAACTCTTCCGCTGGACTGTCATTATTACACTCTATGCGCCATTGTGATATTTATAATGACCGATCTTTATACACAATTCTGCCTCATCTTAATTGAACCCCACGGGATTTATACATAGCATTACCTTATCCAGTTAATCCTATTGTTTCCATTTATGGGTGAAATGGAATTCAGTGTCAAAACGTGAAACGGCTTTTCAATTTCACAAATTAATCATTCCACCGTCCCTGTGTAGCACGCTTGGAAATGAATACACAGGATATCTTAAATCTATGCCAGTGGATTTTTACCGATTATTGTAATTAGCACTTTTTGAAATTTCTGAATTCTCCATATTGAAGGAGGATCCATCAAGTCTTATTATAACGAGATTACCTGCTCTTATCCATTCATTTTCGATACATGTGTTTACCATCCTTAGGTTAATTATCATGGCACACAGACTCCATTGTTAATTGTTACAAAACACAGTAACCCTGTTATGTTTTATTATTTAGACGAATATTATTCCTTAGGTGTCTCTTGAAACAGAATGCCCTTTAACATAATTATCAATACTGGAAAGCAAGTAACGTATGTAAATTACACGGTTGGATACGCCCGTGTATCACACTACGAGCGCATCCCCCTACGTATCTTTGTGTAATGCAATTTAGGTATTTCCGCACCATTCACTTTAACTAGGAGGATGCTATATTCACAAAAATAATTGCTGATGGAGCTTATCATACATAGAGAGCTGCATATTCGTCTGTAACTCCTCGTAGGATCGAATTATTTCTCTATATGATACATCTAACACAATTCTTCCTTAAAACTCTTCATCATGCCATAAAGAGTTATTCTCTTCTAATATTGTCTCTTTCTTCGTACTCTCAGTATTGGTGAATTTTCTCAGCTCCTTTTTTCTGTCCTTGCCTTCTGTATAATCATGTTCAGGAGTATTTGCGCTTGTTCATTCCCTCCTTCGTTTCAGGATCACATGGAGTAACACTAGTCTTCACCATTTTCCTTTTGGGTATGTTCACAGGCATCCAAAGATCTATGTCATTTATGTGGCGATTCATATATTTCGTTTCTTCTTTCAAGAGGTTATATGCTCCTTCCTTTTCTAATATCTGAGGATCTATACAGTCCATTATATTGGGTGAGCTTATCTACTTGTGTGTTATTTTCCTGCTAAGCATAATCATGTCTGAATTGACTACTTGTATCCGGAGGGTGAAGTGGCGTGTATTACTCACATAGGAATACGTTCATTGTCATTCATTTGCTTCCTGAGACGTTACTGTCTACATAATATCACATTACCCTCACTGAAGCACATAATATGACTCTATTTTATATATCCTAATGTTTAGAGCCATTGTCTTACATTCCTATAATAAACTGAAAATAGCATTTACCCCCGAGTGCACATACTGGTTATAGACACGTATTCTGCGGATATCAGTGGAGAACTTTCAAGAATAATTTAACCATCAATACTAGACGC